ACGAACAGCTGGATTCAGCTGCAGCAGCCACCTGCCCCGTGGCAACTGCCGGAGCTGAAGCTGGTTTTTCACAGCGGCTCTGGGGCCTGGGGCTTTTGGCGGACTGGTAACATTTTATTTGTGCATTTGCATATTTGTTATTTGCATAATGAATACGCAAATATGCAAATAAAATAGTCCCAGTCCGCCAAAAGTTTGTGAATAGGTTTCCCTGTCTGTGATATAAACAAGGTTGGGAACCACTGAGCTAGTTGAACGAGGAGGGGAAGGGGCAGGGGAGCGTTTGCTGTGAACGGCTCGCCTCCCAGTTCAGAGGAGGGATGAAGTGAGTCTCTTTAAAAAGGCTAACACTATTTCCTATCCAGTGGCTCACAGAGCTGGAACGACCTCCCTGAAAGGAGCAGGGCTCCATGGAGAGGGATCAAAACGAGACTGTTCAGAGTCGCTAGGAAATGAGAAACATTATCTCAAGGAGAAAGAGCTGCCCTCCTGAAATGAGCACCCGCCCTATTGGAGGGAAGACTTTCTCGAGCACCACGAGAGAGCTAGCTCGACATGATTGCCTTTTGCTTCTTAAGTATTGTTCCCAGTACTGCCCAAGAAAGTAACAACATCATTTCTCAGGGCCATTCCCCGGCCAGCCTCTACCGTTCGCCAAGCATGAACACCCCTTGCCCCTGCAAAATGGTGGACACCAGGCCATTTTAACCAATAGGGGTCTTGAGCTATAGATGTCAGAGTAATTCCTGTCTATGGAGAGCTCGTCGCGCAGCACCAGCAGGGGGAGCATGAGACGCTAGTGCATTGAGGTGCTACCTGAATGGATCGTGTGTCATTGCTCAGCTCTTTAAGGAGCAAGGTGGATCTGAGACCAGTAGCACAGAGGCATTGCTCAGCGCACCCCGCACAATGTTACCCGTCAGTTTTGAAGTCAGCCGCGCAGTATTCTGTGCTTAAACTATTAAAACCAAAAGGAGACAGAACCTCCCCCTGAGCAGCTGGGAATACGCCATTTACACCAGACAGATCTTACTGAAGTTGCCAACCCGGGACCTGATCCAACTCGGGAAGTCAGCAAGCTTTGGCTCAAGCCCTAAGACATTCCATTCAAGCCTGGTCTGGGTAAAAAAACAAGGACGGACTTACACTGGCGTTGAAACCCACGCCGCTATGTTGACCCCAAGTCCTGGGTCGATGCTCCTAGTGTATTGCCATTTGAAAGTGGCCCACTTCCGTTGAATAGACACCTCTTTGATTGACTTCAGTTTTGCAAGTTTGCATCCTTGCAGCCTCGTGAACTGGTTTAACTAAAGCCACTGTAAATATCATACCTACGGCTAAATGGGTGCAACTTTGTGTATGGACCAGCCCCTAAATTCCCAGAGATACGATGGGGAACCGCCAAAGGAAAAATACATTGCGGGTCCTCCCTTCTTGTGATCTCTTCAGAGGGATTTTTCTCCTCACAAAGAAAGTATCTTCCCACCTCCACTTGTTTTTCCTCTTTGAAATTCAGGTCTTGCCTGCACTGAAGACTTTGGCAACTGAGGAACTAGGGAAATGGTGCCCTGGGGAGAATCAAAGTTGAGCAGTTCGGAGGAGAAAGGAGAGGGGATTGCCAGACTGTCTAGGTTGAACTTTTGGTGTTTCATCTGCATCCATTTAACTCCAGGGCTAATAAACACTGTGGAGAAAGGAAGCCTTTGTTAAAGAGCCAATGTCCAACTGTATCCACATGCTATGAGCTTCCCAAGAGGTCGCCCGGAAAAGGTCAGGTTGGATACCCCAGACATTACGAAGGCACACAAGCATGAAAAAGCACTCTTCCTAGTCATCTTCCCATGTCGCAGAGACGTGGACTCTTCCTAGTCATCTTCCCATGTCGCAGAGACGTGGCAAAGGACACGTGCCCCGTTTTAAAACCCCCTTGCTTTTAATACTCCCCCTCTGCTAGGTAGTCTCTTGTTCTCTCCCGCCCTTGTAGAACAGCCCTGCAGAACGAGCAAAGGCCACAGCCGGCCCTGTCTCCCCTCATAAATGCCAGGTGCTGAGGGAGGTGTGAGGGGGCCCTGTGGCTGAGGGAGGCAGGTTTGAGGAGCAGTGACTCCAGCCTGGAGCTGTATGAGGGCGGGGCAGGAGAATCCAGTCTCTACAGGTGGGTCACTAGCCCAGCACATCACTCCCGTGTGCCCAGTGCCAGGTTCTACAGCTAAGAGGGCCACTCAGCCGCCCAGGGACATGCCCAAAGCTTTTGCCTGCCCTCTCGGCTGGGACCCTGCCCAGGCCAAGTGGAGCTTGCGACAGGAGAGGCCTCCGGGGGTGGCTTGACATCACAGACGCCACTTGGCTGGGCTGCAGCACATACCACAGACACCGCTGCGCTGCTCAGCGCTGGCTTCCCCTGGCAGGGTGGGGTGAGGGGATGCTGGCTAGCAGGGCGGCCATCTGTGCCCACCTTTCAGGGCAACTCTTCGTAGACCAAGATTTCAACTGTATCAGCCACTTCCTCCGGTCTCCCACGCCCAGGTACGGCCCCTGTTCCCCCGCACAGCTCGGGTTCCTGCACCCCCCACAAACAGCCCAAGCACCATGACAGCCCAGCGGAATGGGGGGCAGCACCCCCCTGTGGAGGCTCATAGGTAAGACAGGGACAGAGATCCCAGAGGCGCACCAAGGGCTGAGCATAGAGCAGCCCCCACAGCTAGGGACATGCCTGCCTGCCTCGTTCCCAGTCCTAGTGCATGTCACTGCCTAGCTGATGCCTGGCCTGCCTTCTCCACAGCTGAGAGCCTCAGGAGAGCGCGCGGCCCCGCAAAGCCAGCCCAAAAGGTGGCTGTGCCCACAGAGGGGTTTCCCCATCCACTGGCCCAGGGAATGCCTGCTCTAGGAATGACGGATGTGCTCCAGGAACAGAAGGAGGCAGCCCAGTGAGGGATGGTTGGCAGATTGATTGCCAAGTCCTGGAGGCGGGACCATTGTTTCTGCCAATCTTTCCATGTGTGGGATAAATTTTGTATGTGCTGCAAGGCATGTGCAAATGTGCACCACCAACAGAAACACAAAACCTAGCCACGGCCTCTTTGCTGATCAGCTGGGCGGCATGTGAATTTCTCCTGAGCAGCGGCACAAGAACGTAGCTTGCAGGGAACACTGGCTGGGACCCCTCTCCCAGGGATGCTCCACTGGCGTTCGTTAGGAGAGAAGCATCGAGATTACAACACAACAGCCTGGTGACGAGGCTGTTAGGCCATCAGACACCCAGTGTGTGAAGGCAAGAAACTGCCCAGCGCCAGGCTGGGAACATGCACTCCCCTGACTGGCACGTCGCATGCTCCTAGTGTGGGAAGCGGGAGCAGACACCCCTTTGGGGATGGCCCTTCAACACATCTAGGGAGGCTAGAATCACAGGGGTTCAGCTGGTGTCACTCCGCTGGAGTGACTCTGAATTATACAGGCGGAAGGTCTTCCCCTTAGAGGCTATAGACGCTGAGAGCCCATAGCGGCCCATCCCTGCCAGTCATGGCAGGACTGTCTCCCTCCAGCAATCCCATCGGTGCTTCATCCAGCCAAGTGTGCCCTGGCTCAGGTGGAGGAGTCCTACCCAAGGACAATGCCATGGTCTCACAGGGCATCTGTACTAGCCAGCTCTTGGGCCCAGTACTCATGGCAGCTTTACCACATCCCTGCTGAAGGCCTGAGCTGCCCCACTCTGACTGACGCCGGTGGCAGCCTCCCAAGGTAGCAAGGCTGTCTGGCTTCGTTGTGGAGAAGAGAGGATGGACTCAGTGGACTGTGACTCCCTGTCGGGCAGGGCCAGGCCAGCCCTCCCATGCGCTCCAGCAAAGCCCCTCCGCAGCAGCAGGGTTGGGAATGGGATGAGGAGAGAGCCGGGAATTTGGAGGAGAGATGGGGCAGGGACGGAGGTCCCAGGAGGACACATTGGGCTCCAGCAGTCCCCTCCCGGCTCCACCTGGGGATGCAGAGACTGAGCCAGCTTGAGACCTTAGCAAGGCTGAGCAGCTGCTGATCCTACGGACATTAGCTGGAGACGCGGGTGCTCAGTGCAGCTGGGCACCTAGAAGACTTGGCCCTGAGGCTCTGCAGCATCTCATCCCAGCAGAAGGTGGGGGCATTACAGGCCAGCCACGTCCCACGTCCCACACGGGGGCCCTGCCCTGAACACACGAAGTACACAGAGGGTGACAGCAAATAGGTGAGGCTCATTCCTAGGGAAAGCTCATTCCTAGGGAAAGCTCCAGGGAGGGCAGAGATGAGGGGGCAGGTCGGGGATCTGCAGAGGGGATACAGACACACATTTACGGGATGGGGGTGTACTCCAGGGACGCAGGGAAGAGACAGTGGGAGGTGGGGCTCAGCTGGGAGAAGTGTGCAAAGTGTGGGCCCAGCAAGCTGGGCTCAACTGGGCAAAGCGTGTGTGGGGGGCCCAGCTCCAGGCCCCAGGAGCATGGCCTCAGGCAGAAGAGGTGGGGCCAGAGCAGGCAGCGCTCAGCGCCACCTGGACTGTGGCACGCCCACCCCCCCGGCCCGCTGAGCCGCACAGAGCACGATGCTGCGCTCCCCCAGAAATTTAAAGGGCCAAGGGTTCTGGTCACTGCTGTGTCCATAGTAGCAGCGGTGGCAGCCAGGAGCCAGGCCTCTCTGAATCGCCTGCTCCCTTGGCCCCCCTCCCACCGCCCGCATCATAGGCCTTCTCAGGCCTCCCACAGCTTTTCTCTGCGCTGAAGCTGGGGGTGTGGAAGGGGAGGTTTCACTTGCAGGTTCCCCCATTCTCCTCTGGCAAATCTTCACGCTGGAAACAGACCTAAGACAAGGCTCTGGAGAGGAAAGCAGCAGAGCCCAGCTAGGGCCGGAGGCCACGGGGGGACGCGCTCTCAGCCCTCTGAGGGTAAGCGTCTGGGCCCCATGCAGAGGAGAGCCAGGGCCCAGCACAGCCAGCATCATACAGCGAGCCCGGCAGGGACCAACCAGAGGTTACTCACGCCTACTTCCACGTGGTCCGACCCGCGGTCATCCTGCTTGTGGAGGAGCTCGAAGTAATAGCGTCTGGAGGACATGAGGCTGCAGGAGAGGGAGAGAGGCTGGTTAGGAAGCAGAGATCTCAACCAGGGCTTTCTAGCCCACCACCCTCCAGCCCAGCAGGCTGGTCTCTGGGTGCAGGGCAGTCCCGGCACTTGGAGACGGCGGCAGCAGCGTGCCGAGGGGCTTTGTGGCCAGCAGGGAGATCAGCATGTCAGGCACTTCCCTCGTCTGCACTGCCAGGGCCTGCCACATTGTTTCTGGGGGGGGGGGGGGGGGGGGCAGCTCCCCACCCCCCAGCCAGAGACCTCTCCCAGATGGGACATGCAGGCAGGGCTAGCCCAACAGGTGCCGATGGGATTTCACGCAGTGCCTGCTGCCCAGCTCTCCTCCCCGCCTTCCCATGATGGCCCCCGCAGAGCCTTGCACTGCCCCTATGGCAGAGGGTCCCATGTGGATCATCCCAGCCTGCTCTGCTGAGCCATGCAGAGCCCGGGAGATGCCCAAGTACCACCAATGCCACGGGACTCTGATACGTTCCCCCAAAACCCTTCTGCTCCTGCCTTTCTGCTCACCCCGACACCTCCCAGCTTACGGAGGAGGCAATCCCAGCTTTCTCCAGCACGGATACCCTCGCTAGCTGGCACCTGTGCGGTGGGGAACCCACTGCTGCCATACTACAGTGACTGATTCTGCTCTCATATGGCCAGCGCCTGTGCCTGGGATTCAGCCTCCCTGCCCCTCCTGCAGCCCGTGTGGGGCAGACTGACGTGTTGTTTCCTCTCTGGGCCCGGGGATACGGTGAGTGGAAATACAACGTGCTGCTCTCAAGCTGCAGGCACTCTGCAGACAACCGCTGTGGGGGAGCAGGGTCAGGGTGTGTGTGTGGTGGTGAGGAGGGAAGGGAGGATACGAGGACGCAGGAGGGGATGAGGAAGACAGCGTCGCTGACAGCTCCCCTCAGGAGACGGCAAAGCTTGGGCTGAGCCTGCTGCTCTCTCTGGGCTGCCTGTCAGTCCCCAGCAGTGAGCCAAACGCCCCCTCCCCACCTCCTGGGGGGCTGTGTGACACGCTGCCATGGTAACCCCATCCTGCCTGGATGTGCGCGTTCGGGCTCAGGCCCGGCTCGCAGCGCAAAGGCCCTAAACTTCTGGGACACGTCGCTCTGGGGATGCTGACTGGGAAGCTTAGGCATTAGCCAGGGCACCTCCTAGCCCACCCACTGTCCTAGGGCCCGGAGATACCCCACGGACAGGAGAGGGGGCTGCTGGCCCCAGCCCCTTAGCAACCAAACAGCGGCCAGGCATGATGATCCTGGGAGCACCAGTTCCTGGGAGTTAAACACAAGGGTGGGAAGAGACCATCTAGAAACCTGCCCCCCTCTGACAGGGAAATGGGCAGACAGAGAGCTGGACGCAGCTGTTTCCAACTGGCTTTTGGTGACCCATCGTGAAAAGCCTCTGAGGGCCTGTGCGTCAGCAGCTCCAGTGCCAGGCAGGGGAGGGGGATTAGGGCATGGGGCAGAGCAGCAGACCCCAGAAAGGACTCTAAGGGCCCCCAATGCCAGTGCTCCATGCTGCCTGGGAGAGTCTGTGGTGGCAGACAGGGACTGCAGGAGGGTGCGATGCAGAGGAACACCTCACGTGAGGAGCGGTGCAGAGGTGGCTGGCCCGTTCTCTCACTTCCAGGAACCCACAGGCCTCTGGGTGACGCCAAGTGTGCCCTGGGACACAAAGATTTCATCTGCCTTCTCGAAGAGGGAGGCTGCCAAGCTCGCAGCCTCTGTCAAGTGGGGCTGGACTGGAGTAGCTGGGGACACGGTGGCTAGGAGCTGGCAACGTGGGCAGAGCTGCGTGGGGCCTGGCGCAGGGATAGCAGAGGGTGGCAGGTCTGGACTGAGGGGCACTTCAGAGCTACCCAGGGGTAGCACGGGCCTGGCACAGTCCCTGTGAGAACAGAGCTGCGTGCACATTATGAAGCACCGCCAGAAAGCACTGCCCAGGAACCATTGGCCTCCAGCGGCTCTCTCTGCATGCAACCCGCTGCTCTAATTTCCTGTGAGAGCTCCAGTGGACCCCAGGAGATCTCGCTATCATGGCTCCAGGCTGGCTGGCCTCCAATTGGCTGGGTGTAATGGTGTGTGGCTTGTGCACCTGAGGGCTGCTGCCACCCACACTCCCCTCCCTCCCTTTTTTTTCACTGCCATCCTAATTAGATTAAGAGACTCACGCTGTCCCCAGCTAATCATCTGCGCAAGGGGAGCAGCAGCGCATGCCCAAAGCCTTCAGAGTGAAGGGACACGGGGTGGGACTCTGGTCTCGTCCCAGGGTGGTCAGGTGGGCAAGCGGCAGGGTGCATTTGTTCTTGGAGAGGGGTGTGCTTTAGCCCCCTCCCACTGCACAGTCAGGGTATGTCTACACTACCCTCCTAGTTTGAACTAGCGGGGTAATGTAGGCATACCGCACTTGCAAATGAAGCCCAGGATTTGAATTTCCCGGGCTTACATGATCATAAAGTCTGGAAATTCCATGTGTTCTGCAGGGGATTTTCTGTCTTATGTGTTGAAATTCCATGAGGAGTAACGGTAGTTCGAACTAGGAAGCCTAGTCCGAACTACCTAGTTCGTGCCGCATGTAGCTGCGCGGCACGGGGTTCGAACCAGCCGGGGTTTAAAAATGGCGGCTCCCCGCTTATGCAAATGAAGCCCGGGAAATTCAAATCCTGGGCTTCATTTGCAAGTGCGGTATGCATACATTACCCCGCTAGTTCGAACTAGGAGGGTAGTGTAGACATACCCTCATTGGGAAAGCCCAGGCTGGAGCCAAGCACTGCACTGGGAAGGGCTCCCACAAGAGTGAGGGCAATAACATCTGGTCTAAAGCAACCTGGTCTGGAGGAAGGGGGGTAAATACCCCTAAGCCCTTAGCTTTATTACCTCAGCAGTGGTACAGTTTCTGTGGGGACAGACCATGCTCTACAAACTACTCTACTACAGAGGAAGGGTTGCCACCACGCAGGAATAATGAGACCGAACCAGCAGCATTGGACTGTGGAACTCATTGCCACAGGGTGTCACCAAGGCCAAACACTTAGCAAGACAGAGACGGGGCTTGTATGTGGATCCCCAGACTACACAAAGATCTACCACTGAAAGAGAGGGCTCTGGAAAGGAGGAGAAATATCCCGCTTCAGGCTCAGGCCAACCTCTAGCTATTAGAGGTTAGGATGAAACATTCCTAGGGGCAGATTAGCCTGCATCTGCCCACGGAGAGGTTTCCTGCTCACGCCGCCTTCTGCAGCATCCTGTGCTGGCCACAGGATACTAGACTAGCATCCTGGGTCCTCCTCTATCTGGCCCTGTCTGTGTTGCTGTTAGGACTGGCAGAGGGCACAGAGAGATCTACTGAGATGACATTATGAGAGAAGGGAAGAACCACACACCTGGGCTGTGTCTAGACTGCATCCCTTTTCCTTAAAAGGGATGCAAATTAGACATATCGCAATTGCAAATGAAGCAGGGATTCCTCTTAAAATGAGGGATAAGGGATCTTTCGGAAAAGGCTTTATTTTCCAAAAGATCCGCGTCTCGACTGACACTTTTTTCCGTCAAAGCTCCGAGCCGGAAAAAAGCGGCAGCCATTTTTATGCTAATGAAGCGGGGGAGATTTAAATCCCCACTACATTTGCAATTGCGATATGTCTAATTTGCATCCCTTTTAAGGAAAAGGGATGCAGTCTAGACACAGCCCAGGTGTGTGGTTCTTCCCTTCTCTCATAATGTCATCTCAGTAGATCTCTCTGTGCCCTCTGCCAGTCCTAACAGCAACACAGACAGGGCCAGATAGAGGAGGACCCAGGATGCTAGTCTAGTATCCTGTGGCCAGCACAGGATGCTGCAGAAGGCGGCGTGAGCAGGAAACCTCTCCGTGGGCAGATGCAGGCTAATCTGCCCCTAGGAATGTTTCATCCTAACCTCTAATAGCTAGAGGTTGGCCTGAGCCTGAAGCGGGATATTTCTCCTCCTTTCCAGAGCCCTCTCTTTCAGTGGTAGATCTTTGTGTAGTCTGGGGATCCACATACAAGTGCTGGCCTGCTGCCTGCATGGCCCATGGCCAGGCCTGGTTTGGGAGGCTCAGTCCTCAGAGTCCCTTCTCCATTTGGACAGATTCCCTCTTGCTTTTGCTGGGCTCGCTCCTCCTGCATCCTTGCCAGAGGGGGACGCTGGACATGCATGCTGAATGCACCCTCCCAGCAGCCTGCTTGGCAGACCAGGCACAGAGTTCTGAGCCCTGTGGGAGAACTCTTGTGTGCTCAGCGCTGCTGTCTCTGCCCTCTCTGCCAGCATGCCCGAGAGAGCCAGCACAGGGAGGAAGGGCCAAGTAATGCTGGGGCACCAGGGCCCAGTGCCTAACCCAGGACAGACCCTCCTATTGAGCACAGCTGCCCACATCCCTGAGTTCTACCTGTGCAGCACCTGATGCTGCCAGAGATGTTGGGGCTGAGCCATGAGAGCCGACAGCCCCGGGAGCTGCAGCGCAGAAGAGAGCGAACGCGGCTGTGACACGGAGCGGAAGGGAAAGCCCCCGCCCCCAGCCCAGGCGCTAATGCGCTGCATGACAGAGAGCTGACGAAGCGGGCAGAGACAAGCCAGAATAGAGCTGTCAGCTCCAGCTGAACCATGTCGACAAGCAGCGTGGGTGGCAGGAGAGGAACCACTCGCTAACACAACAGTGGTGGGTGGGTGTGTGGGAGAGACACAAGGGGCAGGGAAGCAGGGCCAGATGGGAGGGGGACAGAGGTGACAGGGAAAACAAAGGGGTGAGGCTGGAGGTGGGGGTTGCTAGCCACACACTGCCCCATAGGGTCACACTCCCATGCTGCTGTGACCCTGCTGGAGACGACACTGGGCACGGAAAGGACCAAGCAGGCGCAAGGAGGGTCCCACCTACCGGATGGGTTTGGAGACTTGAGAGCTGAACTTGGTGAATTCCCCCGGAGCTGTCCACTCAGAGCCCAGCTGGTGAGAAAGAGAGAGAGAGGCATGAGAGCTAGTCCTAACCAGCTACGAGAAAGCGCCCTGGCGGGGCCAGGGACCACTAGCCACAGAGGCAGTACCCAGGGGACTTGGTGTTCCACGTGCCCGCTCCCTAGGTACTTTATTAGCACCACCAGCGAGCTGTGCGCAGGCAAGGCCCACGAACCAGCCAGGGCTCATGGTCCCTCCTTGCTCAGTGTTGCACCCGTGGGAGCTCACTGCCAGGATGCCAGCTTCCCCGCTGGCTCTGCCTTGCCACAGCTCCATGCGAGATGAGTGTCACGGACAGGGCTGCCACGCAGGCTCAGGTAGCATCGCCACAAGCAGCTCTCACTCCCCAGAGAGCCAGCAGACACCATTCCAGGCCCCCAACACTTTGGCTGGCAGCAGCTCCGGCCTGCCATGCTCACCGGGACAGCTGAATCTCCCCTCCCCTGGCTCATAGACGAGCATGGCCGAGCATTGGCTTTGCACGTGCACAAGGGCTTCAGGCTGTACACTGATCACTATGGATAGAAATTAGGACCAGGAGAGGGGAGGGAGATGGTCTCACATTAAGGGGTGAGGAGGGAGATGGTCCCACATCAGCCTACTATGGGGTTCTTGCACCTTACACAGAAGCACCCTCTACTGCAGAATGGACACTGGACTAGCACGCCCCATGATCTAAAACAACCTGGCTGTTCCCATGTTCCTAGGACACCAGCCAAGCCCACACCTCTGGTATCATTAACAGGGGCCCTGGCTGTTTTGGAGCCATTTTGATGGAGGTGAGATTTTAAGAAAAGATTTGGGGAAAAAAAAAGTTGCTTGTGCATCTCACACCCATTCCCATGAGCTTCCAACTGCTCCTTCCTCCATGTATCTCCCCGGGGCAGCAATGCTTAGCCTGAGCCAAGCGACAACACGATTTCCAATCCAAGCCTGCCGGACAGTTATTAAAGGGCAATGCCCCAAATCTTTCTAGGGGGCGGGAGAAAAGCTTCCCTGTCCCCAGAGTTTCCTTATTCACTTAGCTTCACTCTTCTGGATCAGAGCAAGGCAGAGACATTTCAGCCACAACGTGTGCGGGACATTTCTAAGGGAAATGTTTGGGGTCAGTGCTGCAGGGCTGCTGCCAGGACACAGCACCTGTACAGCCACTCATGATGCATCGCACGCTAGTCTTGCTCATGTTTTCCACGGATCCCATTGGGAATTATTCTGGCTGCATTTGTACTTTAGCATCCCAGCAAGGCACTGGGGATATGGGCTCTTCCTCTCCCAGCAGATGGTATGATTAGCTGGGGGATAACAGAGTGTTGCTACCTGGAGGGGTGAGCCCTGGAGAGTTTCCGGCATAGGCTGAGTGTTTCCAAGCCGGGGGTGGAGGGGAGAACAGAGGAGTCATTGAGAGAGGATTTGTACCTTGCCCACAAATGCCACCAGCCGGGCATTGGCTGGGATCTCATCAGAGCTGAGCCAGAACTCCGAGTTGTCATCTGATGCTACGGAAAACTGGAAGTCCCCTGTGGGGCAAGGAAGAACACTGCCATTAGCACAAGGCCATACGAGCGGCCAGAGTGAGTCAGACAATGGTTCACCACCTTGTATCCTGTCTTCCAACAGCGGCCGGTGCCAAGTGCTTCCGTGGGAAGGAACAGAACAGGGCAATTATCGAGTGCTCCATCCCCAGCTTTAGGCAGTCAAAGGCACCCAGGGCATGGGGTTGCATCCCTGACCATCTTGGCTAATCGTCACTGATGGACTGAGCCTCCAGGAACGGCAGCCACACTTTCGGCCTTAGGAAAATCTCCTGGCAAGGAGTTCCACAGGCTGACGGGGCAATGTGTGACAAAATACTTCCTGTTTCTGTTTTAAACCTGCTGCCTATAAATTCCTTTAGGTGGCCCCTGGTTCTTGTGTTATGGGAAGGAGGAAACAACACTTCCTTATGCACTTTCTCCACACCTTTTATTACATTGCACACAGCTAGCGTATCCCTCTTACTCACAGCTTTCCCAAGTTTTTTTAATCTCTCCTCATACGGAAGCTATTTCAGACCCCTAATCATATTTGTTGTCCTTTTCGGAACCCTTTCCAACCCCAATATGCCTTCTTTGCGATGGGGTGACCAGAACAACAATGAGGCAAAGCAGCAGCAGCTGCCCAAAGAGGACCTCCAAGTTATGATGCAGAAGAAATGCAGGTAGCAGGGATGAGGGACATTCTCCGTACTGCAGGACAAAGGGGAAGTGGGGTGGAGACGGTGGCTGAGTCAGTGACACCCGTGTAACTCACTGTGCTAGGGGTCCCTGCCAGCACACTTTGGGGCTACGCTGCTGTCCCAGGAGGGGTTGGAGGTTGCTCTCAGTATGCCTTACGCCAGAGCCATCCAGGCTGGAGGGTGGGGGTTGGATCAGGGTTCCTGCTCATTTTTCCCATCCCTGAGCAGAATGAATTTTATTATGTGCACCAATGCGCATGTGGTATGTGACACATCACCTTCCTATTGGTGTGCACAACAAAATTCATGTGGTGGGAGTGGGGCAATGGGTCCTGAGTGTGACAGGGGGCTCAGGGCTGGGGTAGATGGGGGGGCGTAGGAGCATGAGGGCTCTGGCTGGGGGTGCGGGCTCTGGGGAGGAGTTAGTGCTGAAGGATTCAGGGCTGGGACAAAGGGTTGGAGTGCAAGGGCTCTGGCTGGGGGTGTGAGCTCTGGGGTGGGCCTACGGTAGAAGAAGTGTGTGGGGGGAGGAGAGCTCCAGGGCCTGGCCGCCCAGGCAGCTCTGGCTGCAGCAGGGGGAGATCTAGGCTGCGTTGGCCACTCTGGCCATGGCGAGGGGAATCCACAGCAGGCTAGTGTCTGGGGCCAGGCTGCCTGGTTCAGGCCGTCTCTCCCCCCCATGGTGGAGGAGGCAAGGGCAAAAGACAAGAGGAAGCGGTTCTGTGCAGCCTCCCAGCCCAGCTGTTGAGGGGGGAGAGGGACAGGGGTGACGGAGATGCTCACCATCCTTAAAGGGGTGGATGTACCCAAAGATCCGCAGCCCGTAGTTCTTCCACTTGGGCGACACAGCCAGCTTCTTCACCGTGGTGCGGGTCTGCCCAGGCCAGCACGAGAGGGAGAGAGCACAGGGACGGGTCACACTCAGGCCTGGCCATGTCGCACTAGCACCCATGCTTGTGGGTGAGGCAGGGGAGCATGTCCCACAGCCCCACCCTGCTCCCCAGTGAGGGTGAAATTCTGCTGCCAGGGGTTGGGTCCAGTGCCCACTTCAGCTCTACACCTTGGCCAGCGCACATGGGGCGTGAGCAGGCCCCAGACTGATCCCCTGCATGGAGGGAAACGGGCCGCAGCAAGACCTGGGAATTCTCTCTCCAGGGTCAAGTCCCTAGGGCAGCCCCAGCTCACAAGCTCCCTCCACTGCAATGGCCTTGGGGCCAGGCCTTCAGGACACCGAGCGCTTTGGCAGCAATGAAGGTCATGGCCAGAGCAGACCAGCCAGCGCCCCGCAGGGGAGGCGATGCGGGGGAGGTAGGGGCAGTGCGGCCCTGTCCCAGCGAGGGCTCTGTACTCACGTGGGGGAAGAGTGGGAAGTGCAGGTTCTTCCTCAGGTGCCTCACGGCCCCACCACACCAGTCCTCGAAAACATGCAGGTTCGCCTTCCCCTTGTTCTGCCGACGGAATACGAGGGAATGAGAGCACATCCCGGACGGGGCCCCAGGTGCCACGTGCTACCTCCCCTCGCGGGCCAAAGGCCATGCCCATCGGAGGCCTATGGTGCCGGGTCCGACCCCATGAAACAGCTCTGAGCTGCACATGGCCAAGCGAGCCAGAGGGGAGAGCTGAGGGGCTGTGGAAGGGAAGGGGGCACACAGCGCTAGTAACATATGGCCCCCTGCTCTGGGTGGCGCTCGCTGGGAAACATGGGTGCCGGCTGCTGTCTTTCTGGGCTGTGGCATGTTAGTACGACACGTTTCCTGCCCGGCTCCACAGCCAGCCCACGCCACTGCCAGCTCAAAGGAAGATCAGTTTCAGTTCAACCCAAACCAGCTCCCTAGCCCCGACACTGCCGTCAGCCAGTCCTGAGCGCTCGCCAGGGTGCCATGCAGCCACAGCACTAGTGGCTCAAATCAGGACAAATCCCTTGTCTACAGTCCCCACCATGCTCCCCAAAGGCAGGGGCGCCATTTCAGATTGGGGGGGGGGCACCTGTGCATACTGTGATGGGGGGAGAGAGACTCCTGGGCTCTATCTCAGCTCAGGAAGGGGAGTGGGGTCTAGTGGGTTACAGCAGGGGGCAGATACACTTCAGCTCTATGTAAGAACATCACAATGGCCACTCTGCGTCAGACCAATGGTCCTTCTAGCCCTGTATCCTGTTTTCCAGCAGTGGCCAATAGCAGGTGCTTCAGAAGGAATGAACAGAAGAGGCATCCTCATGATCCATCCGCTGTCACCCATTCCCATCTTCTGGCAAACAGAGGCTAGAGACACCATCTCTGCCCATTCTGGCTACTAGCCATCGATGGACCTGTCCTCCTTGGACTTATTTTGCTCTGATTAGAACCCTGTTATAGTTTGGGCTTTTCCACCATCTCCTGGCAAAGCGTTCCACCAGTTGATTGAGAACAAATGATTTATTTTGTTTGTTTTAAATCTGCTGCCCATATATTTAATTGGGCCAGCTTCTTGTGTTCTGTTAGTGAAGGAATAAATAACATTTCCTTATTCTATTTTTCCACACCGTTCATGATTTTCTAGACCTCTGACATATCCCCCCACCCTTTAGTCATTTCTCTTCCAAGCTGAAAAGTCCCAGTCTTGTTAATCTCTCCTCCTATGAAAGCTGTTCCTTACCCCTAATCATTTCTGTTGCCCTTTCTGTACCTTTTCAAAATACAACGTATCTTTTTTTAGATGGGTTGACCAGATCTGCATACAGTACTGAAGATGTGGGCATACAATGACTTTCTGTAGAGGCAATGTGGTATTTTGTCTTATTATCTATTCCTTTCCTAGGCTATGTCTAGACTGCAAGCCTCTTTTGAAAAAGAGCATCTAGATTATAGCCAGTACTTTCGAAAAAGCAAGCCGCCTTTTCGAGAAAGAGCACCCAGGCAGTCTGGATGCTCTCTTTGGAAAAAGCACAGTTTGCATTACATAGCGCCTTTTTTCGAAAGAGCACTTTATTCCTCATAAAACGGGTCAAAAAAACTGCCATGTTCTTTCGATTTACTTTCAAAAGAACGCGGTAGCAGTCTAGATGCAGGGGAAGTTTTTTTGAAAAAAGGCCACTTTTTTCAAAAAAAACCCTGTAGTCTAGACACACCCCTAACGATTCCCAATATTCTGTTAGCTTTTAAGTTTTTAGATGGCCACTTCACATTAGACAGATATTTTCAGGGAACTATCCACAAGGATTCCAAGATCTCTTTCTTAAGTGGTAACAGCTATTTTGTATCTATAGTTAGGATTATATTTTTCCACGTGCATTACTTTGCACTTATCAACACTGAATTCCATCTGCCTTTCTGTTGCCCAATCACCCAACTTTGTGAGATCCCATTGTAACTCTTTGCAGTCAGCACTGGATAAGTCCCTGTTCACCCATTTTTCAAGAACATTTAACACAGTAATCCCAATGCAGATCCCTGCAGCACAACACTCATTCCTACTCTTTTTTCACCCTGTCTTTTAAGCGGAGTACCTGGCAATGTTTTCATGATGATCTAACGATCCATCAATTACTGGACTGCCCAGCCTTTTGTTATTCTTAATCACTCCGCCTTCCTCTTTTTATAACAAACTCCCTGCCCCAAAATCAAAGCTGCAAGCAGCTCAAACTCTGTAGCATTTAAAAACTGCCTCTGGAGTCAGGGCATGCAGCTACTACCCCACACAGCCCCCATAAATGATGCCCTTGCCCACAAGCACAGCTGATCCCCGGCTGATGAGAAAGCCAAGCTGCTGGCAACAGGCCTTGCATCATACCCTAAATGCCCTGCGACAGCTCAAGTTCCAGAGATCAGACCTCCTCCAGAATCTGACCGGCTGCCCCATCCCCTGTCATGGGTCTGCTGAATAGGGACCCAGGGACTGTTCCACCATTAACACCCATTTCTTTCCCTTCTGGCTTTGTATTTTGGCAACTCCTCTCCTGTGAATGTGGGGTGGCCGCTGTCATGGGACCCTCAGTGCTAAAAGCATGATACTTAGGAGCAGCAGAAACTGGCAAGGTGACACCCATTCCCATGGCACTGGGGTGTCTGTGGAGACGCCAGCCAGAGCGTCCCACCTGGTCCCACCACGCTGACCTGCAGCCCCAGTTGAGCTCCTCAAGTTCTAGGAGCTCCCAGCAGAGGCCCCACACCCCAGGGCGGCAGCCAATGCCCATGCGATGGGGCTTCGCTATACCCAATGCATCGCAGGATGGGACCAACCTCCCAGGGTGCCTAATAAGTAATTGGATCTGGCCCCAGAGCAGGGCCCACCATGTGGCACAGCAGCCTGGCCTCCCTGCACTCACTGGGGATGCAGCCCCTTGGTGTGATCAAAACAGCCTCCACCCGGGGAACAGCTCTCGGCGAGCCCCTCCCAGCTGCAGCCCCCGCCCCATGGCTGCTGGTGCGCCGCATGAGCTCATTAGGCAGATGCCTGGCCCAGGTTTCTGGCTGCCTGGCCCCCTCGCTGAGCTCTGAGCTGAGCTGCTCTTGCTACAGCGCTGCTGGGGGGCAGCGCAAAGGGGGCCTGTCTGCTGGCCGCGTTTCCAACACTAAGACATGGGGAATGAAGGATTCTCCGGCCTCTGCTCTGCCTGGCTGGGAGGCTGGTTCCGTCCCAGTGCCTGCCCATCACGACGGATGGGAGCTTGCTCAGAGGGAGGCTGCCTCTAGGTGGGCTCCCCTCCAGCAAGCCGGCAGAATCAGTCAGAGGGAAGGAGCTGCTTGGTGATCCCACAGGTTCTCCTGCACCCCCAGCCCCATCTCCACAGCTCCCGCGCAGGCAGCGAGGATGGCTTTCACCCCGCCTGCTCCTTCCTGCCCAGCTCACCTGCTCGCTCCATGGCAGAACACGCTTGGTCAGGTTCAGGCTGGGGGGCTTCCTGGCTCCATCTGCCCTGTGGCCTCTGGACAGCCATCCCTCCAAGTCCTGCCCTTCGCCCTGCTGGGGAAACCGAGGACAAGGTGAGAGAGCTGAATCCCATGCCAGGCCAGGGGAGGGTCAACGGATGACATGGATGCCTCCCACCCCAACAGGCTGTGCATTTAAATTCTCCCTTTGGGGAGCGGGAGCGCTTCCCCCCAGCAGCGCTTGCGGCCCAATGGAGCACTCCCCCTACCCCAGAAATGCAGCCCCTCCAGAGGCTGAAGTCAGCACCCTGCAGTGAGGCCGTGGGGCGGCTCAGGGCAGGCAGTGTAGAAGAGCCCCATGTCCAATGGGGAGGCTGGCAGGGCCGCAGAACCCCGCCTCCCCATTGGAGGGCAGGATTGTGTCCAATGAGGAGGCCGGCAGGGCCTTGATTACAAGGGCCCGGGGAATCTAAACACCCTTTCTGAGCCGCCCACACCCAGGCAAGGGGCCAGGGACCATTCCGTGACCTGGCAGGAAGGCCTGTGTGTGGCACTTTCCTGTCTAATCTAGAGATGGTCCCAGAGCCAGGCACCGCAGCATCCTGGTACCTCCCCAGCCCCTTGACACAGGACAATCCTGCGGGATCATTGGTTTGGCAGCTGCCCAGAGAGGCCCGATGAAGGGATGAGGGGCCCCTCAGGGCAAGGTGCAGCGTGCCCCCTACTGAGCTTACAGCTCTGCAGAGCTCACTGCGTGAGTCGAGCCAAGCACGTCACGCCGACAGCTGGGGGAAACAGCAACAGCGCTGAGGCTTCCACCTCAGCCCGGGGAGCAACAGGATTGAGCACGCTAGGCAGGGGTAAGGGAAGGGGTTACCTGTGTCCATTGGGGGTAGGGAAGCCAGAGGAGTGAGTTTGGCTTGGCGCTCTGAGCCCAGCGAAGCGGGTTTCCGGTCCTCTCCTGCACCCAGACCCACGCAGAGCCCTTCCTCCCCCGTCAGCCCCGTGTCACTGTCCTGATGGGGATGGGTCATCTCCTAGGCGTGGGAGGCCAATCCCGAGCAGGACACAGACACCGCACACCCAGAGCCAGGCACCGGGTGAAGCAGACGGGTGGTCATGAGCCCACTGGATGGAGCCAGGTCCCGGCATGTAGCTTCGTTCCTCGAGGCAGGGAAGGTCCAGGGAGCACAGGGAGCTGCCCACAGAGACGAGGGGCCAACCGGGATGGGAGACTGGCCAAGAGCAAAGGCAGGCCGCCCAGTAGAACAGGACGGACAATGCACCAGGAGCCGCTGGCCATGCCAAGGCTGTGCTGGCAGAGGGGAATTTCAAAGCAGGGCCAGGCGGAGGAAGAAGAGGGCTGCATGGGGGAGATGAATGCCCGCGGGGGAGATGAATGCCCGCGGGGGAGCCCTCTGCTGCCCACATTCCTGCCATGCGCAGGGATGAGGCAGTGGCAGGCAGGAGATAAACCACGCCTGACCCAATCCGCTTGTGCCAGCCGCTCCTCATTACACAGAGACAAATTACCCTGGCGACTGGGGTTCTCGAGAAGGAAACAAAGCGCCTTAGCCCGTGATAAATGACTCCTTGTCAAGCTCCCCGTCTGGTGGAATTAATTCCCAGCCAGCTGTGCCCAGCGTAGGAAGGAAGCAGGGATGGAAGGAGCCTGCAGCTACAGACGTAGCAGCGTGGCTGCCCAGCCGGCCCCGGGGCAGCGCTGTTTGGGTCCATGGCAGCTAGGGAAGGGATCTGGCCGGTGAAGCGCCTGGCACCAGCTCGGGGCGGCCCCAGGGGACACACAGTGCTTGAACAGAAAGTCTTTGGGGCAGGCACAAGCTTAGGCGCACAGTGAGCACTGTACCTACATGCAAACAAAATGTGTGTTCAGGAGGGTGGGCGGAGGGGGCCCTATGGCCAGGGATGCTCTTTACAGCTCTGGAAAGGAGAGGTGCCAGATGTGACTTGCAGGAGACGCAGCGTGACCGAGTTGTGTGAGCCACGCGGGACGTTGTGACAGGGTCCCAATCCTGACCAAAAATAACCCGACCCCGTGAACTCCGAAAACAAAGTTAGCTGTTTCATGCCTCAGTTTCCCCATCTGTAAAGGGGGTGGCACAATTCTGAGGCCTGCTGCACCGCACTGGGCAAGAGCCCCTCTGACAAGTGATGTGCTCTTTGTGTTACAAAATCCTCTGGTGCGGCCAGACACTGGCAAAGAGCTGCTATTTGTGAGGCCGCAGGATGGCTTGGGTCTTTGCTGCCCATGACCTCTCCCGACACTGCCACTGCAGAGGTGGGCGAAATCCAGAGCAAGCTGCCTGCTAGCAGCTGCACCAGTTAGCTGAGCCAAGCATTGGCTGTGGAGGAAGAACCAAAGCTCTGGTCAACCCCCGGTAACTGCTGTTACTCTGAGCCGCTCCCCACTCAATCCCAACATTGCCTGGGCAGCGAGTGAAATAAGGGACGGTCTTGTGTCCTGGCAGCCGCAGGATATGGGATAAGAGGAAGGGCGTGAAGGGGACAGGCTCCGAAAAGAGGGCAGAACACTGGTCTCGGAGAACCATCCGCCAGACATTAATGGGAAGGGGAAAAGCAGGCTGCAAACAGCTGCCCTAGTGGATTCTCCAGCAACAGAGCCAGAGACGCACGCCTGAATGCGCCCCACGTGCACCCCTGCAAGCCCAGCAGCACGGTGCAATCAGGGCTCCCATGATTCCTACTCGAGCTGCATGTACAAACTCTCGTCGGCTTTGGCGAGTGTCAGGGGTCCTGCCCTGCGGCCCCAGGAGCGGGGGGAGACGGCCCTGCCATTTGCTCCACGTCTCCCTCCTCTCCTGCTCCGTGTCCAGACGCATCATGTCAGTTTTGCAGCCTGGCAAGGGAACGGAGCGCCGCGGCCCTCGGAAAAGGGGCCGCTGGTGTTCAGGGCTGTAACGGGTACCACACTCCCAGCTCACAGATGCAGGGGTGGATGGAGCGCACCAGCTGCTACTTACTGACTTGTCCTGGTGCAGCTTGGCTGACAGGGAGCCAAACTCTGGGCTGTCACTGGCCTCCGCTGAGCTTCTTTCTTGAGGCCAAAGAGGCGCAAGGAGCCACCTGGCCAAAAATGCACAAGCCACCTGGGGGGTTTTGTGCACCAAGCGATTGCTCTCCAGCTCAGAGGCGTGGCTACGGTCGCTCCCAGCACAAGAAAGCCAACGGGTGATGAGGATCCTTCATGTACAGGTGGTGAATTGGCTCTTCTATCCCAGACCCTTAAGCGCCACATTTCCCAGGCAGGGTCTCTAAGCCTTAGCAGAGGATGGTCACTACAAGGGCTCTGCTCCCACAGGGCCCAAGCTCAGCTGCTTCCAACCTCCACTGCTTTCCCTGGTGCCTTGTTCAAAGAACGGTTGGTTCGATTTTTGTTTTTACTTTAAACAAATACGCACACGTATGCCCTCCCCCTGCCCCAGGGATTCAGACTCAGTAATTCCCTGTCAGATGGGGAACAGGCTCTTCCACCAACAAGCCAAAGGCTTTGGAAAGCTAAAAAATAGGACCCATCTATTGGAAACCAGGAGGGGGCTGTTTGGTATACTCTGGCTGACACCACTTCCAGCCGAAGAGACAGACAGGGGCTCTGATGTAACATCCTGTGGAGAACTGGTCCCACATTTCCTGTCCAAACATGCTCCCCCTTCCCTGGATGAAAAATAGCCTTTTCCCAAAGCACAAAGCTTGTGTCATTTGAAATATTTCTGGCTTTGTGGCAATCTACCAAAAGCGAAACATTTGTTGATGTCTGGTAAAAACAACAACAAAAAAGCTTTGAGAGAGAGCGTGCAAGAGTTTATTCTCTTTGCCAATCACAAAGTTGGGGGAGGGAGGGTCTTTGCTGACTGGCGACAGCAGCTGCCTGTGGGCAAAGGAGCTGGTTTTGCGGTTGGAAGAAGCAGTGGAAAATTATTCCCTTTTCAAAGGTTAAAGCAACCGGCGACGGGGATGTGATTATTATTGATCGTTTGGTGCCCGCTGGAGCTGAACAGATGCACAGATCTGTTTTACGGCACTCAGACGGCCAAAGGGGATTTGCCTGCCTGCCTTACCCAGAGGCCCTGCAATGGGCAGGGCTGCCACAGAGCCTCAGTGGCCACGAGAGGGTTCGAGTCCCAGGTTCACTCCATACCATCCCAGTGCACATCACCGACTCTCCCTGGCGGGCGGCCCAGCCTTTTGAACCAGGCGTGGAGCCAGTTTGGAGCGGATTCTGCTTTTCCGCCCCTTTCAGCCGGCTTTCCCTTTCCATTCCCTCTAAGCCCTGAGCTGTGTCTGGCTCTGACACAGGGCCTATCGATCGGGCTTAGCTAATTGAGAGTGGGCAGCAAGTGGCATTGGTAATCCATCCACCCGCCATTCCCCTCGCCCGCTGCACAGCCCAATCCCACTGCCACTTTAACCTTGGCCCGGGACTGCTGTCCCAAGCCTCGGGGCTGCTCCCCACACCAGCACTGCAACTTGGCTTGTGTTTATTTCTGGGCCTCCCTATGCTTCCTCTGCGGCTGAAATCTCATTCGCCTCATTCTGCAGATGAGGCAACCAGAGCCCGACGAGGTCAACGACTTGCCCAAGATCTCTCACAGGACGCTAGTGGCAGGCGTATCCCACTTAGCTGGGGCGTGGGCCAGGCACAGCTGTTACTGCAAGCTGATCTTTCAAGAGGCATTCACTTCAGCAGAGCTGGGAGCTTTCCCACTCAGCGGTGCTAGTTCCCAGCCTCGCCCTTTCCCCTCAGCTTCCTCCAGCACCGCACCATCAGCTGCAGGATCTCGTCGAAGTGCATCTACCCACCCAAGCAGGACCGACAGAGCCGGGCCAGCCACGCAGAGCAGCATCCAGTAAAGCTTTATGAATGGGTGCTTGTCAGTAACCACGCCCCCTTGGTACACAGCACTGCCCTCTACTGGACAGAAGCAGACCCACCCCTGTGGGGCAATTCTTTTTCTCGTGGCTCACGCGAGCGGCGATCCTGCTAACTAGAGTTTGCCCAGGCACCTGCAGTGCTGACGGCAAAGACAATGAAAAGTGAGTGGCTGGCTCTCCAGC